CTCTTTCTTCTATCTTCCTTCTTCCATTCGCTCTCCATTCATGATACCTGGCCCAGCCTTCTATTTGAAGTGGCGCCATTCCGGTTATGACACTGAGTGCCGCTGTTGGCGTCGTTCTGTATGCTCCACATGAAGCCAACAGAAACGGTCTCTGTGCCGCACTCAGTTGTCTCTTCACCCTACTGTCATGCGACCTTTCCCCCCAGATTTGTACAGGTTTGGCCGCAGGTTTGGCCACCCTTTCATATATCATCCTTACACATTCTCTCTTTAATCCAACATTCTTCCCGGTCCATCTCCTCAATTTCCCTGCCAGCTCACTCAATTTTCTCCTTACCTCTTTGTGGTGGTCTATGAACAGTAGTCCTGTGTCCACCACAATTCCGAGATATCTCACACTCGTTTTTTGCTCAATCTCTCTTCCATGCATTCTTAGAACCGGGATTCGTACATCTCTACCAGTTGGCACTCCGTTTTCATCTCATTATACTTAAGCCACATCTCCTCCTCCCATACTTTGCATTCACCCCATAGCAACTTCCTTCCATTCTCTATGCTGTCGACAGAGTTACCCTCGATGATGACAAGCTGGTCATCCGCATAGGCCTGCACTTGTACTCCTGTTGCTCCTATGCCTTCTCTGATTTTCATCCTGTTGATTCTCTCGAACCATGCCTCCATCACTAGCAGCCATAGGGTCGGTCCCATACTTGACCCCTGTGGGCAGCCTCTGTTCACCATTTCAGAGACCGCCCCACAGGTGACTGTTCTCTCCCCTATGAAAATCATGCATGTCCTGCCCACATTTTCCGGCATTCCCATTCGCCTCATACACACTTCAATCGCCGGTGCCCATGCGGTATTAAAGGCGTTTGACAGGTTCAACGCCACAACCAGACTATGTCTCCTTCCTCTCTTGTTTTCCTTTATTCTACTCACCATTCTCTCTACTGCCATTACTGTATCCATTCCCCCTCTGAACCCAAATTGATTCGGGGAGATTTTCAACTTTCTTTCACACCATACTTGCATCCTACCGTTAAGAAGCCTGTCCAACATCCGTCCTATGCCAGTCAGCAGGCTGATTGGCCTGGGATTTCCGTCCTTCTTCGGTATCCATACAACCTGTGTTCGCTCCCACGCGCCGGGAAAATACCCTCTCCCCAGACAGGCGCTGAATAGTTCCACCATGCACTCTCCCTTCCATTCCATCACCTTACGAATAAGTTCGTTCGGGATCCCATCCACTCTTGTTGACTTCCTATCGAGCAGCTGCTCAGCCACAGCTGTCAGCTCCCCGATAGTAAACCCAGGCTGATTTTTTCCCCATTCTTCATCCTCTCTCTCCCTCCACCAGCGCCTAGTCGGGGTGTCTCTCAGGGGATCGTCCTTGGGGAAGTATTTGCCCAGCAGATACCTGCTGGTCTCCTCCCTCCCCTCAGTGTAGGTACCATCCTCCTTCAAGACGTTGGACGGCATCTCCTCCGCTCCATCATTGTTGAGGAGTGCACACTCTCACAACAACCCAACTTTCACCTCTGTTACTGGAGAAAGTGGCCGGACTTTCACAGTCATTCTCTATCATGTTCCCCTTCTCCATCACCCATTCTAGCACATCTTCTCCCCTCTCATCCGTGGTGTTTCCACCCCATGCTACATTTTTCGCATTCACGTCTCCAACCAGAATCTTTTTCCCCTCCAATTCATTAAATATTCTCCTTATTGCATCCATTCTCACATTCCTCTTTCCACCTGGCTCGTCGTACACATTCATAATCCTAACATTTCCCCTCTCATTCCCTACCACTATTCTTATCCCGTTCATGCTTCTAGCATTCCTGAGGGCGAGACTATTGACAGTGGATCGGACCCAGGTTCGTACCTTAGTGCCCTCCCCACCATCGTATTCAACCCACCCTTCCCATGCCGGTTCTCTAACCCAGGGTTCCTGAATACACACCACTGCAGCGTCATGCTCCTCGGCGGTCTTCCGCAGTAGTGTGGTAGCATCCCTCCCTTTTCCCACATTAATTTGCAGTACCTTGAACGTAGTTGGTACGCCTTCTCTGCATCTCCACCCTACTCACATATACTGGGCACTTCGGATCTATTGCCGAGTGCCTCCTTTCACCCACTACCACTCCGACTCTTCTGCAGTTTACGCAGCTGAGTCCTCTATCACCCCTACACTCACGCCCTTCGTGTTGTCCTGCGCACTTATAACATGCCGGTTCCTGCCGGCATGCTTTGGTAGTGTGCCCAAAGTGGCAATACTTGAAGCACACCGCAACACTGTTGTGCTCTTCCACATATACATCTGCCAAGTCCAGGCTCAGGACTCCCAAGGACATCATTTTCCGGACGAGCTTAGCGTTCAATTCTAGGATCACGTTCTCTCTCCACTCATTCCTACAATTTCTCCGCTTTCTCACCACCATACTTTCTAGACCAGCTTCCGTTAGGTCATCACCCAACTCTGGGTTCTGACTCAACAGCAGTCTGATCAGCTCCTCGTCCCCATATCCCTTTTCAACTCCCGTGAGTAGGACATGGGGATTTGGCCTCTGACCATCCTTTACCTTGATCCTACTTTCATCCCGGAGTACGTCCCTGATCCTTCTCCTACCTTCCTTCGTTTTTCCTTTGATTACCACCACCCCCGTCCGATTTCGCGTGACAGCCTCCACATATGACAGGCACCCCTCCTGTCGTAAGTTTTTCGCTCACAATTCGTGCGGTCGGTATAGTTTCTTCCTCATTTGCCTTCATTACTACTATCTCTTCCTCCAGAGGGGGTGATTCCCTCGGCTTGAAGATATCATATTTCGGATCTTTATCTCCAAATCCTTTTCTCTTCTTAAAATCCATCCCGTACTGTTATAGTGGTTTTCATCCGTCTAAATTTCAGGATTTCCCAAATTCCACTCATATTATAATATTCAAAGTCCTGACACTCAATGAATACGAATATTTCGTTAGCCCAAAAAACCTTATCTCGTTTTTGTTTTAACGCTGATAAGATTTATTTATAGTTGAAAACAAAGCAACTTTTTACTTTCTTAAATGCATGTATTCCATACAAATGCGAGAACTTCGTTTTTATGTGTCTATTTCACTGGATTTATAAGAAATCAATTTCAAATACCCTACTTATGTGTCTTTTTCACTAATCACATTCACTTTTACTGAACGATAGAAAAACAGTTTCAATTGCAAATTAACTCAGTCAATTCCCTCACACACATCCGTCCTCGTCAAAGGCTGAGAACGAAGTTCTGTCGTGGTGGGGCAGCTGTCACTTGCCACCATTAGCGACTGCCCGGCGCGTTTCCCGTGTCCGTAGCGCTCGCGACGAATGAACATGGTTGCTGAAACTGTGCGCATTTTTTCCGAATCTGTGGTGGTAGTAGCACTAACCACCAAACTGGTTAGCTGATTGCGAGCGCGAACGGTTTCCCGAGTTTGAGAGGTCGCGCGGTTGTTGGCGGTTTCGCGGTTGTCTTACTTCAGCCCAGAGTGCGTCGATCTCGCGTTTCTGTTCGTCAATTTGCGCTGATAACCGCGAACATCTTTTGCGGTTCGGTAGCACTTGACAACGCGTGCATGGATGCACTGGGGACGACAGCATCCATGACGCAATCGGCGGTTTTCGCCAGGTCGTCGAGGCTGACTCCTGGCTGTGCTACTTGTCCGGCGATGCTGACGCGAACGATCGGGTTGATACGGTCCATCCACATGGCCCGGATAATCTCGTCGGCTGTTGAGGAACCTGCGAGCGTCTGTAGGTGGCGCATGAACTGAGATGGCGTCCTGTCACCGATGTCCTCGCGTTCCAGAAGTTGTCGCGTTTTTCAAGCCTGTGACTTCCCTAGGCGTCGCAGCAACTCGTCCTCAAGTTGTTTGTGAGGCCTGTCGACTGGTGAGTTGAGAATTAGGTCGCGAACTTCTCTAGCCTCCCGGATGTCGAGCGATCTCGCGACCTGACGAAACTTTTCTATGCTGGTTTTGACGCCGGCATCTTCAAGTGTCCATTCGACTTGCTGGAACCATACCTCCGCGTCGTCGGAAGTAAACATAGGTATTCTGAGACGCGCAGAGATCGAACTCGCGGGTTCGGGATACCATTTGGCATTGTAACGATTAATTACTAGGGGTACTTGTTCAGACGGTTCGAAAACTGTATCGTCTATGTACACAACGACGCGTGAAATTCAAAGGGTACTTACTTGTATAGCTAAATGGTCAATGTTTGGAAACGACGCGTAAAATTCACTTGTATCACCGTCACCCACAAAAAAAATTATCACGTCGGGACTGTGATAGGTGAATTTATTAATTAACACACGACGTTTATCAATGAGGAAATTTATCAACACCAAAACACTATGACTAACGAAACACAAAATATAAAAGCGCCACGTGGCTTTGACGAAGCGAACAGTTTCACTTGCACCAGAAAGAGATGTTGTTAGATTTCCTGCTTGACCCGAAGAGAGCTATTTTCCTAAGATTTCTTCTCACCTGGCGGAAACAGAAATTCAGTCCAGACAACACAAATTTCGGGTATTCGACCACTCGATTCTCGAGTGTTGCTGCTTCATCACCACTATCTTTGATTTTCTGAATCATATTTATAAGTTCATCACCTTCTATGGCAGGAATCATCTTCTGTGTTTCTCGTATTCTTCGTCGTTCTCGGATGCGACAAGGAGGTCGTCAATGCATGCGTAAACGAAGTCCGGTCCACTTAGTTTCTCATCGATGAATCGCTGGAAGATCTGTGCTGCGTTGCGGAGATCGAAGCTCATCGCTGGGAACTCGAACATCCCGAATGGCGTAGTGATGGCTGTTTTCGGGATATCTTCTGGTGCTACAGGGATCTGGTGATAGGCGCGGACCAGCGTCTGGACGAAGTCCTTGATGTGTCGCACTAGGTAGCGATCTGGTATCGTGCGGGCGTTGAGCGCACGATAGTCGCCACAGGGACGCCATTCGTCACCTTACTTGGGCACCATGTGGAGGGGAGAAGCCCAGCTACCCTCAGAAGGGCGGCAGACGCCCAGTCGCAGCATGGACTCGAACTCCTTAGCGGCGTTGAGTCGATCCCAGGGAAGGCATCGCGGTTTGGCGGCGACGGGCTGACCTGGTGTCGTGTGGATATGGTGCACCGTTTTGTGCTTCACGTTATCCGTAACTTTGCACGCACCATCAGGACGAGTGATTGCCAGGAACTGCTGAAGCAGCTGGTTATATCGTGAACCGCCAGCGACTGTTTTGATCCCCGCGACCGTCGCACATTGTGACTTCTGTCCAGCGACGTTCAGACTCGTAGTGCGGTCGAGTAAGTGTCCATTGCGTAAGTCGACGAGTAGGTCGAAAAGGAACAGGAAATCCACACCGATAATCGCCTGCGACACATCCGCGATCACAAAGTTCCACGTGAAATCCTGGCGGAGACCCAGGTTGATAGTAATCAGGATTAGGCCTTACGTAGCGATAGTTGGTACCGTTAGCCGCTGATAGCTCGAACTCGGTTTTTACTCCAGGGTCACGAACAAGTTTACGCGAAAACGCGCACAAAATGGCACCTGTGTTTATTAACAAATCTATGGCACTGTCCCTCTCTTTTAAAAATAAGCGGCGCGCGGTGGGGCAGCTGTCACTTGCCACCATTAGCGACTGCCGGGCGCGTTTCCCTTGTCCGTAGCGCTCGCGACGAATGAACATGGTTGCTGAAACATGTGCACATTTTCTCCGAATCTGTGGTGGTAGTATCACTAACCGCTAAACCGGTTAGCTGATTGCGAGCGCGAACGGTTTCCCGAGTTTGAGCGGTCGCGCGGTTGTTGGCGGTTTCGCGGTTGTCTCACTTCAGCCCAAAGTGCGTCGATCTCGCGTTTCTGTTCGTCATTTTACGCTGATAACCGTGAACACCGTTCACACTTTTGTGGCTCGGTAGCACTTGATACCGCGGAGATGGCGTCCTGTCACCGATGTCCTCGCGTTCCAGAAGTTGACGCGTTTTTTAAGCCTGTGACTTCCCTAGGCGTCGCAGCAACTCGTCCTCAAGTTGTTTGTGAGGCCTGTCGACTGGTGGGTTGAGAATTAGATCGCGAACTTCTCTGGCCTCCCGGGTGTCGAGCGATCTCGTGACCTGACGCAACCTTTCGATGCTGGTTTTGACGCCGGCATCTTCAAGTGTCCATTCGACTTGCTGGAACCATACCTCCGCGTCGTCGGAAGTAAACATAGGTATTCTGAGACGCGCAGAGATCGAACTCGCGGGTTCGGGATACCATTTGGCATTGTAACGATTAATTACTAGGGGTACTTGTTCAGACGGTTCGAAAACTGTATCGTCTATGTACACAACGACGCGTGAAATTCAAAGGGTACTTACTTGTATAGCTAAATGGTCAATGTTTGGAAACGACGCGTAAAATTCACTTGTATCACCGTCACCCACAAAAAAAATTATCACGTCGGGACTGTGATAGGTGAATTTATTAATTAACACACGACGTTTATCAATGATGAAATTTATCAACACCAAAACACTATGACTAACGAAACACAAAATATAAAAGCGCCACGTGGCTTTGACGAAGCGAACAGTTTCACTTGCACCAGAAAGAGATGTTGTTAGCTTTCCTGCTTGACCCGAAGAGAGCTATTTCCCTAAGATTTCTTCTCACCTGGCGGAAATAGAAATTCAGTCCAGCCAACACAAATTTCGGGTATTCGACCACTCGATTCTCGAGTGTTGCTGCTTCATCACCACTATCTTTGATTTTCTGAATCATATTTATAAGTTCATCACCTTCTATGACAGGAATCATCTTCTTTGCAGGAACTGAAGGTCTTGATGTCCGCCTACTCAGTTGCATTTCACTGACACTAATAATAGGTACATTTGATATTGATGGAACCAGCCGCTTCGCTTCAACATCTGTACAGAATACATTTTCAGCACATTGGTTGATATATTCCAGGCCATACAGTACAGCAGCAAAGTGACTGCAAACTTCAGAATGGCCTGCCATGCAGGTACAATGAGCTGAAATCATTGCATCATCTTTGCCGTGGGGGGTTGTTCATGCTCTGTGAATGCTTGACCTAAAATTAAGATACATATTCAGAGAAAATGATGAATAAATCAAGTTCGAAAAATATTTGGGCAATCACACCAATGTGCTCTCCGATTGACTTTGCTTCACAATCATGTACAAATCCAGTTTCAAAATATTTGTAGCCAGTCAAACTTTTGTAGGCCTTCATCTGCTGATTTCTAAGGAAACTGTGAGTTAGCACCAGATAAGAATTCATGTCAAAAGCGGTAACTGGTGGAAAACATTCTATAGAACTGTTCATTTCTTCTGAAGTGGAAGTAAAAGGATCCATGCACCGTATCACTCTGATTTTATCTTTGTAACGCACGGCAATGTCTTTGTTTTCACGTTCCAATGTTGGTAAATACTCACTTTTATTAAAAACAGCCATCATAATTATTTTCACAGCTTTCAAAGATAACAAAACACGAAAAAACAGCGAAGTACCTATGTCATTGTACTCATCGTGTGCCTACAGGCGGCTATATTGTTCGAGAATTGGTCACGTGTTCTGAACATCCTTATATCCTTTTGTTCATTCCACAACCATAAATGTTCAGCAAATCATTCAGAAGCGTGACGGACGTAAAAAAATCGAAAAACACTTTGTGGTGTTTTCCTAAGTAGGCGTGTCAAATCTTTGACAACTCTAAGACCTGAGCCTTCTTCACTTCCATCAGATTTTCCTGTACAAATCTGAAATTGTGACACAAATGCAGACGGTCTGTCCTTATCCATATTTTATAGCCCCTCTTGATTGTCTTGAGTGGTATATACTGGCGAAATCCTATTCTCCCCTTGAATTTCACCATTGCTTCGTCAATACTTTGATTTTTGCTGGGCTTGTATAATTTTCCAAAAATATCTGACAGTATGTCAAGCATTGTTCGTATCTTATACAACTTGTCGAATCCTGTTTGACCTACTTTTGGTTGGACAGAATTATCATTTAGGTGACATCACGAGACATGGAAGATGGTATAAAATTATCTCGCATCTGCAGTTTGGAAGACAAATAATCGCTGTAACTAGGTTTCTTTGTGAGTGCCAACATCAGATTTATACCAAGAAAACATTTGATTTCGCCCGAGTCGGTTAGCAGGAAGTGATTGCCTAATTGCTGTGTAGCATATAAATTGGTTTCGAAAACTATTTTGCCGATAAGTTCCATAGTGAACAAGAACATATGTGAATATATCAGTTGGAGTCTCGATATTTTCAGGAATGTTAGGACCAAAATCTTCTATAAATGCCATTGGTTTGTTTGCAACATTATTATTTTTATGTTCATATATTCAGAAAGTTGTCATATAGCTGGAGATTATTTTGATTTTCATTTCGCCAGCCCAACATTGGAGGAAAATACTTTCTTACTAATAAGGTTATTTAGATTTTCCTTATGACAGCAATCTCAAGAATCAAGGACTCTTCGCAGAAAACGGAGAGGAAAAAACAGTACAGATAGTGATAACGGAAAATCTGGACGACAGATACTTAAGAAAGTGCACAGAGAGCGCATTCCAAAGAACGCAGGCACAGTTCACGGTGTTCTGCAAGAAGGAAGAGAAAACAATGAGAAGTCGATGGACAAAACTGAGGAAAGATACAGAAAAAAATCATTAGGAAAATGGAAGGCAAAAACTACGCCGAAGCGTTAAGGAACATGAGAAACTGCACGGACCCAGGCAAAAAGGAAATTCAAATAAAGAAAATAAAACGGACTGCTGAAGGAGATATACTCCTAGAAGTGAAAGAGGGAAAAGGGCAGGCTAACATCCTGAAAGGAGTCATAGAGAAAGAAAATGAAAACATCAAAGTGGAGTTCACTAGCAAAAGCAGCATAATCCTCGTCTATGACATTGAGGCCGATATAAAAGAGGATATCGTCGAGGCTATCACGGAAGTTGACAGCAGATCTACTGCGGATAATGCGAAGGTAATTTCACTGAGGACGAACTCGTATGGCAACCAAAACGCCACGGTGTCAGTCGAGAAACTCACAGCAAAAGAACTGGCAAAGCAAAAGACAATACGAATAGGATGGGTACCCTGCCGAGTGTGAGAGGGGGTGAACATAATCAGATGTTATAGGTGCCTTAACTTTGGCCACAGAAGGGATGAATGTGCAAGGGAAGACAACGCGACGAAATGTCTGAACTGCTCCAAGGAGGGGCACATAGCGAAAGACTGTGTAGAAGTCAGCTTTTGAACAACATGTGCGACTGGTGGTCATAGGGCGGATCAGATGAGATGCCCAAGTTACCGCCGAATGATTAATAATAGAGAACGACAAATGGGCCAAAGGAGACTAATGCAAGACAGAAGAAATGAAGAAGGGGGATCAAGCGGGACCAATAATGCAGATAATACAAATTAATATAGGTTGGCCAAATAAAGCGATGGCCAAAAATCATCTGATGGACAGAAACGGCGACGTTTCAATGTTCTGCAGAAACAAAAATGTCGATATAATGTCACATAAAGCTTTCATGGGATACATCAAAGTAGATTTCAAAGACTGGACATGTTACAACGTTTATATCTCGCCTAATATACCTATGCAGGCTTATAAAAACCAAGTGGATGACATAATGAGAAGAATAAGAGCTGACGGCAAGGCGGTCACCATGCTAGGCGATTTTAACGCCAAGTCTACTCGCTGGGGATCCGATAGCTCAGATGAGAGGGGGTTATACTTGGCGGAATGGATGGCTTCGCTAGATATGGAAGTCAAAAATGATGGGATCACGCCCACTTTCATCAGAAGAAGTAGCAGATCCTTCATTGGCATAACATGCACCACCACTGGAATGGGAAGAAGGATACACAAATGGAAAGTGCTAAAAGAGGAATCCCTCACTGCACAGGTATATTCGAGGTGAAAACAGGGCCGGAGGCGAAACAGAACTGCCATCAAACGATCCAAAAGAAAAAAATGGAAGGAAGTGTGCGATCAGCTAGAAGATGACCCTTATGGTCAAGGATACCAACTGGTAACGAAGAACATAAAACAACGAAGCGCACAATACAAAATCGGAAAGGGTGAAAAGTTCAGGAAGGCGAAAGAACGATTTCCGGAGAAGCGCGACAGGNACCTAACCTAACCTAACCTAACCTAACCTAACCTAACCTAACCTAACCAAACCTAACCTAACCTAACCTAACCTAACCGAACCTAACCTAACCTAGGAGAAAGGCTATAGTCATTCTCATTCCGAAGGGATTTCCCGGGGGGCAAGGAGTCCAAAAGTATAGAACTATATGCCTATTAGATGTTCTGGGCAAGTTATATGAACAAGTCATCAAAAAAGACTGGAGGATGAGCTGGAGGAACGGAAGGAACTTACACCCCGCCAATTTGGCTTCAGGACGGGGATGTGCACAGTAGATGCTGCAAGATGGAATATGGACCGTACTATGGAAGGGCGGAAAAAATGGGCAGCAATAATTCTGCTCGATGTGAAAAACGCATTCAATACGGCGACGTGGAGCAAAATAATTCAAAAACTCCGTCGAAAAGGAATCAGTCAGTATCTGGTGAACACTGTCGAAAGCTACTTATCTGTAAGGGAACTCACAATAGGAGGGAAACGTTTTTTCATGTCTCAAGGCGTCCCA